CTCACCGGTTAAATAATACCTTTGATGCTGACTTTGGTTCCCTGCTTTAGTGACTTGATCAAGCCTTTCCTAACGTTCTACAGTATAAAATAAATAATGAAAGTCGGTATTCTTCATGCTAAAATCGTATCGGGTCAATATGGGTATCGGACAATTCTTAAAGCTGCAATATCGGTATCCTATCGGAAGTGAAAATGATTTAATCGACGGATGTTAACCGTTGGTCTCATCTGACCAGAGCTCCTTCTGTGTCCCTACATGTGTGGAGGCAAACATTACAGAACTTTTTACAACCTTTTTCTCAGCAATGGTTTTCGTTGTCCAATTCAACCATTAAAGTTAAATTTGTAAAATCCACAACTGAATAGTTATCCTGTCAACAGATTTCACCCCCTTAACTGTGCTTCTCTGCAGCTCCTCCAGAGCTACCATCTTTAGAACTGGAGATCTAGTTTTTCAAACCTAATTCTCAAGATTTCTGTTTCTACTTCACCTGCTTCTTCCTCTTGGTCAGTTATCAAACATTTTTAGCGAATATACTGCATTTTATCTTTGTTACCATATCCTCTTCGGTAGTAAAGCTAAGTTATTTGGTTCAAAATAAGATTGGCTCGTTTGCTTCTTTGCAGTGCAAGATCCAGGAGATGACTTTAAATTATGTTTTAGGATTAAACTACCACACTGTTGAGTTAAGCTGTTCTGTTTGCATGTATGAATGGGCCATTCTTCAACAGATCATGCAAGAAAACAATATTTATGGTGAAAAACATCCTGTCCCAATCAGTCTAAAAAAGAAAAAAGGAAATCTAACACTTTAATAAAAGTAAAACGTAAATAGACATCTTTAATAGATTAGGTTTGGGAAGGTTTATTTCTGATATTTGTTGAGCATTTCCTTAGATCAGACAGAGTTGGTATGGAGAAGGAAAGGGTATATTTAATTACATTTATTCCCATAGTAGTGTGATCTAACAGTCATTAACAATTGTCTTATCACCAGAATGAAAAAACCTTCAGTGCTTGTTTAGTTTAGTCCTGTGGAGATGTCAGAGCTGCAAGAAGAAAATCAAATTAGACCTGTGTCCCTTATTCACAAACTGAGAATGAAATGTTGGACAAAAAGACGACAATGCAAACACAGATTCTTAGTAAATTATATATTTAGATAATGTCTGTGTGCTTAAACATAGTGGTGGCAGCATCATTCCATGGAGATGGCCGGTACTCTGAACCAGAAAATTAAAAGATAAGAAAAATATATACAGAACAATTTAGAGCCACCCTGACCTCGAATTTGCTCCAAAGCTGATTAATAAGAATTTCACTGGTTCACAGGGTAGCATTTCAGCAACTTCAGAATAAATGAACTGGGGGAGAGAAAAGGCTTTAGAAAAAACAAGCTGGGAAGTTATCACCAGGAAGAAAGACTGCAGACCGGGATACTGGACTGGGTCATTTACAGAACATCCATGTTTTCTCTCAGATGGTGACTTTTAAGTCTTTAAACTGTGAGAAAAGGCCTCATGGAGAGCAATGTAATGCTGCAAAGTGAAAGGAAGTTTCTTTTATAGTCAGCTAAAACCATTAGAGGATTTTTCCTTCGAAACTTATTCTAAGAGCTTCATAAGTTTCCTGTGGAATGGCAAAACAGAGAGGATTGTCCTTTAGTTTACTCATTATCTTAGTACTCTGATTTCCTAGTGTGGAACAGAGCAGCCTAGTTTTTTATGAAGTTGTTGATTCCTATCAAGCCCTGAGAAAAACATATTGATGAAAGTATTGATTTGAAGAGAAACAGGCTTGGATAACGACTGTTCTCCAGGCCAAAGTCAAAGTTTTTGTTCCTTTGCTCGCTATCCGAGATGACTCACTGTTCTCTGCCTGCTCTGAAATATGTCAAAACATGTTTCCTTCTCCTTGTTGCCCTCATCCGTATCCATGTTTAAAAAAAAAAAAAAGGGTTCAGTCTCTTGCAGCCATCTCCTCACTCCCATCTTCTGTTTTTTGTTTCCCATGTTACTGATCAGCTCCAGCTGTGGGACACTGCAGGTCAGGAGCGCTTCAGGAAGTCCTTGGTGCAGCATTACTATCGGAACGTCCACGCCGTGCTTTTCGTTTATGACGTCACCTGTCCGGCCAGTTTTAACGGGCTGGGTGCCTGGGTGGAGGAGTGCCGGCAGAACTCTCTGGGTCACGAAATACCTCGGTAAGGTGGTGAAGTAAAGTCACTGAAATGCAATAAAAACAAATCCGATTTACTGTAATGGATTTAAGAAAATTACAATGAAATGTTTTTTATTTCACACATATAAAAAACAAAAATAAAAACTAACAAAATTAAATGTCTCTAATATAAGACAAAGCAGTTAGTTTGATCACTGTGTAAAAAAGACCTGCTTGTTTGGCTGCAGTTAGGATAACTAAGCACAAACCTTGAGTAGATTGATTTAATTTCGTGTACCAACATTGATTTAGTGTAAAATCAATGAGCTGCTGTACAGAAGGTGACCTTTGAACCTTAAATTCACTCACAGTCCAGCTCTTCAACTATGTAGGGTCCAGTTTGATTCTAACATGATCAACATATAATTTTAGCAGCAGTACAGTTAAAAAATATGAAAATAATAAACAAAAAAATGTAACCATATAATAAAATGATATTTTTGTTTTTGTTATTTTTATTGCTTTGGTTCATTAAATGATAAACAGGATTTGATCTTGGTTTTTCTCTCAGGTTTTTGCCACAGATTTAATAGTTTAAGTAGTTGTTGGAAACTTTAACCAGATTTCATTATTTAAAAAAATCCATGTAGATATATTTAATAATTTAGGCCTCCTCTGAACAGCTGCAAACTTTACAATTGATCTCAGTTTGATGAAAGTAAAATATTGATTATTTTTACCAATTCCAATAGTCAGTTTCAATTTTTTTTTTAAATTTCATTTGCATTTTTCCTGCAGGTAAATCTATTCTGATAATTCAACAAGAGCCAATTTATTATAGTTTACTTGCATTAGCCCAGCATGGATTTTAGAAAATTTGATGACATCTGTTTACTGCACATATGTAAAGTAGGACGTTTTTCCAAACCTTAAGGGACCTTCCAAAGAGAAAATTTTGTCCCGAACACAAAGCCCTGTGGAACTCCACATAAGGTATCTCACAATAACTCAATTTATTGTTATATTTCCTTAGGTTCCTCATTGGGAATAAAAGTGACCTCCGTAACGCCAGCAGCACCAGTTGCCAGGTGAGCCAGGAGCTGGCCATGAACTTCGCCAAGACTCATGCAATGGTTTTCTTTGAGACGTCTGCCAAGAACCCACTTAAAAAACAGCTAAATGGTCGACGAGGTGAAGTCGAGGAGATGTTTCAGCAGAGTGGAGTGGAGGACATTGTTACTGCTGTTGGTACAACACTTAAGAGACATAAAACTCCTTTAACGGCTAACTCACCAGCCTACAGTGGGTCTTTTAAAGTTCACAAAAAAAAGCAGCAGAAAGAGCTGTGGACCTGCTGCTGAGCATGGCTCTTTTCTGTTTTTTGGATAGAATATGTGGACTTTAAAGCTTTTTAATTTTTAAGAATATGAGTGTAAAAATTGTATTTTTGATCATTGCCTAAATGTTTTGTAAAAAGAGCTTTTTTTTTCTAGTTGATGCCTTCCTTGAAAACGTGCTGTTTATTTGTGATCTTATTGTTTACCATTGTTTCAAAATAAAAGACAGTTAATATAAGCATCCCAGTGAGCCTTCAGTACAGTGGTGTGTTTATTCTCAGCCTGTGTGGTCTCCCTCGGAATTTGAATTGTTTGGAAATGTTTTCTCACTCAGAGTGTTTGCCGTTTCCTCAGTAAGATCCTCACCAGTAGAACCTGAGTTCTAGAACCACTTCCACATAATGCAGCTCTATAACTAGAGTTATTGAAGCAGATTTCATTCATGATCCATCAGTTTTTCCTTAACCTTCACGCTCATTTCAAAGAAGTGCATGAGAACTCCAACTTTTTTCAAGTTAGTGAAGGCATCTACATCTCTTCGCATGCAGTTTAATGAAAATCAGTGAAGATTAGAGACAAATGATTCAATATATGAATTTGATTTTGCTTAATCCCATTTTCTGTTCAAAGCTACCGATAAGAATATCATTTCATTTCATGGTCAGTGTTTGTTAGTGATTTTCGGTTGGCGTTTAGTCAGTTGTGGTATTTTCCATTTTCATTTTTGTATAACTGAAATAATCTTAGATTCAGAAATGTGTCCTGATAAAAAAAAAAATATTACTTTAATTATTGTTTGTTTAAATTTTTTTTGCATAGAAATTATGCATAGAGCTTAGAGGAACCAGTCCACAAAAAGCCTCATCTGCTACTTGTCCCTGAGGCTGCATAATGCCGAGGAATGGGAAGTGTGCAAATCTTCGTGTCCTGCTTATTTTATTTTTATTTTTTATTTATTTACTTATTTAACAGGGACAGTTTGTACATTAAAAAGCATTCCTGCAAATGCTCCAGTTGTTTTAGTTCTTTTTATGTATGTTTTATTATCCATTTTTTGGATGTGTTATGAGTGGGTATATAGCCTATGTGTACGTCCTGTTTTTTTTTTATGTGTATTCACTGTTTCTAATGGCAGCTACTACTATTCACTACAGACTTTTGAGTCTATAACAAATGCCTCCTGTGGCAGGAGTCTGCAACCTTTTTAATCCAAAAAGCTATTTTACCTCGAGCCAAGCTAAATAAAATCAGTTCAGAGCTGGAAATATTACATGGCCTTTAAATAAAACAACACTTTGTATTTTTGTTAAATATCTGCAATAGGAAATACGTTGCCATTTAAAAAACAGTTAATTTGCTGTTTTTATTATTATTTAAAGGATTAAATTAAAAATAGTTTGAGTTTGTATTTTGTTAGGATATCATTTTATGTAAATAAAGAAAATGACAAGGAATCTGATCTAAAACTATATTTCTGCTCCTTAAATGTCATTCTGTAATGAAAATTAAATTCAAAATTTCTTTTAAAAAAGCTGCTAAAGCTTGTAAGAATAGTATTTGTTAGAAAAATATATAAAAACGGTCTTTATTGTTTTTATTGTGTTAAGATGACCCTGTCCTGAGATGGATCTTTGATCTGCATCTATCAGGTAATAATGTTTTGTTCTTCATTTCATTCAGTAGGTCATCCTGAGCAGGCAGATAGAAAACATCTGTCAGATGCTGTTACGTGAAAATGTTGCCCTTATTATCCACCTCTGTCTGTCTGCAGGGACAAACTTCATCACATCTTTATGCGTGACTCTGATGTGTTCGGAAAAAGTGCATCACGTGTGTTTCTGTGAAGACGTTTGCAATCGATGATTCAGAGGTCGTCACATGAGAAACACACAACCGTGTGTGTGGACTAGAATTAGACACCTTGTGGGGACAGTGAAAGGGAAATTCCCCAGGAATATGCTACTTTGTGGGGACCAATTGACTGGGGGTGTATGTGTATGGGGTGGGGGGTGGTTTAAGATTAAAGTGTGAATTGAGGTCAGGCTAGGGGTATGTAGATAATGGTTAGGGTAAAGGACTGGGTTAGACATACAAAGGAATGTGAGTCAATGTTAGAAGGACATAATGTGTGTGAGTGTGTCTTGTCTTGGTGCAACATTCACCGGTCAAATGTTATAAATCTCACTTCAAACTTCAAAAAAGACGATAATCAGAAGGACACCAGCAGGTTTTCAGCGAAATGCACTGGAAAAAATCGATATCTAATTAAGTCATTTTTTCTTAAAATAAGAACATTTAAGGTAAAAGAGACATTTTGACAATGGAACAAGACAATTTACACTCAAAATAAGAAAACGCAATTGCATTGTCTAATTTCATGTGCATGTTATCTTAATTTAAGACTAAAAATACTCATTCTATTGGCAAACTGTCTCATTTACCTACTAAAAATTAAGGGTAAATACTTTTAATTTAAGAACTTTTTACTTATTTCTTGTTGTTCCAGTGTGACATCTTAGATGTTTTTCAATGTGCTGAAAAAGCATAATGTTTTCTATCAGTTTAGAAAAGAAAGATTAGGTCATATCTCTAACAGAAAGCTTCAGTTATTCTGAGGAAGTCGCACTTAGTCTGTTGCTGAAACGTCATATTTCCACCTTTATTTGAACAGATATCTGACCAATAAATCCACACATTGTTTTATGTCTATAGGAAGATATCAGGTTTCTGCTGTCATGTTGCTTATGAAGATAATTTTTGACGTGTTGTGCAAGGTAAAGCTAAACTTAAAAACATCTTTGATTTGCTAGTGACATCAAAGATGTCATCAAATGGGTCACATTTCAAAATGAGGTCATTTATCGACATTTTTATGCAGTACTTCTGCCCTTTGAAACGTTTAACCTTTGAACCTCTCTGGTTTTTATTTATAAAATGTTAGAAAAAAATCTCCAAATAAACATACATATTTTTTCCATTACTTTGTGTTGGTTTATTACAAAAGATTCACACCAGACAGAGTGAACCCTACGGCTGTAAAGTAATAAAGATATCAAGTGAATACTGTTGTTAAATGTTCTGTACGTTGATGTGAGGAACATGAGACCTGATGAGTTATGTGGTTAAAAAGTATTACTTTCAAAAAAGTGGAAATAGCTTGATGATGATATTAACACTTCAGTCACATAGATGGGATGTTTTAAGAGTCACAATATATTTACTGCTTGTTTTATTTAACAAAAAAAGGCAGAAACAGGCTTCAGCTACAGCTGCTGCTGGGTGTAAATGAACTGTTTCTGATTCTCTGATTCTGCAGCTTATGGTGAATTCATGTCTTTAATGATCAAGGGCAAAGACACTCCATGACTGTTTTTTTTTTAATCCAGTAACAGTGGGTATTAAAAGTCCACACAGTTGTGGTCAAATCTGCCTGAATCCCACAACTTGAAATGCCTATATTTACTATTTCTGCCAAGCAGAAGTTCTCATAATTTCCCCAATTGAAAGAAAATGTATTTTCCATGAATGCCTTCAGGTGACTTTGATGGAAATATGAATTGTGTTGAGATTTGTGAATTCACTATTTTTCCAGAATAAGCTACACGTATCAATCTGGCTTATGCCAGGCTAACCCCACAAAAGCAGTGAGGGACTCCTGGGCCCTTCTGAATACCTCTTTCTACCAATAAAGCAGTTTGTTCTTTGCTTGGACTTGCTGTGATTTTGAAAACTGAAATTCTGGTTTATCCCTAACTTTCCTTCTGACATCTGGAAGACTGACTGGGATTTTTGGATCTTTTTTATTTTTTTATTTATTTTTTTTTTTACAGTGTCTTGTCTGGCAAAGTGGCAATAAGAACAATTGCCTTGATGCCAAAAATAGCCCTACAGATTTTACTTTTACAAGTAGAGCAGTACAGCTATCGCTATAGTGTTCCGCTTGTTTCATGCATATAAATAGCTTTATTATAATTATGCAGGGAGTTTTACAGATTATATGGACACTGCAATGTAAGTAGAACAGATGAGGAAAAACAGAAAAAAAGGAGAAAAGATGAAAGAAAGAGGAGATAAAAGAGAGATAATGATAAAACATTTTCAGTCAGCTTCATCTCCTGCAAAGAGATGTAAAAAGGAGAGCACAACCAACAGACATGGTACGACACATACAATAAAATAACACCTAGATACTATCGCTGAAGTAGTATTATTTAATCTGACATGTTTTCTATGTTACCTGAAGATAAGAATATGGGCTTTCTGTATGGATCTTTTCCAAACTTCACTTTTCCAAAGACCCCAGTTGTAAAATATCCCCACAGCTCCTCCTGTGGGGTTCTCAGTCTCTGGACAGCCTCCCTGACCAGGTTCTGTCTTCTACAGTTTTGGAGAAACGTCTGCTTTTCTGATGTCTATAGCTGCTGGTGCCTGTCCTTCACAGGACTAATAATCACGCATGCACTCCCACCAACATGCAATTTAAAGAGAACAGATAATGTAAAAGTCACATTTACCCAGAGAGAACATACAAACAGAGAGGCTGTGGTCACGATTCAAACCAAGAAGCTTTATCCTGTTTCATCATGCAGACTGTTTTACTTTTACTCCATTATCATATTTAAGTGATTTTACTGTACCCATTCTGACACCTTTCTACCAACAGACCCTTTCCATCAATTGTACACTCAGTGCATCCTAAAACAGGACAGTTCACAAAATTTATTACAATTCACGTAATAAGTAAGCTATTTCGGTTTTGATACTTAAAAAAAAAACTCAGATTTTTAAGTAATCTTTAAAGAAAAGTATTACCGATCAATAGTACTCAAAGGTTTTGGAAGAAAGTTTGGAACTTTGGCTTCTTTTCTTTTATTCCTCACAGTAAATTAAGTTTAATTTGAAGGAGCATTAAATGTGAGGAAAATTATGAAACAGTCTTCTTGTTTGTCTTTTTTTTTTTTTTTACCATTTAAGAATCTGAATCTAAACAGGTAAAAAAAGATAATAATTAAAGCTATTTAGAGCAAACAACTTGCAAACAATTACTATAGAATGGAAAACTTGAATCTATGCATCAAAGTGGGCAGAATAATTGATGTGAAGGAAAATATAATTTACAAGGGAAAAACTGATCTCTGGCTTTAGAGACTGGATTGATGATCATTTCTGGCCT